ATTTACCAGCAAAATATTCTCGGACTAAAACTGGTAACTTCTGACAGAGAGAGAACCGTATTTACTCTCTTTTTTGTCCTCTCAATAGTCAGAGAACCGAGTACGGGATCGATTTCCAGTAAAATCTGACTGATTCTGACTATTTCTGACTAGTCCGGACTCGTACGGGATCGCAACTATAATTTTTTAGAATTTTTATGTCGCATTGGCTTTCATATAATGAATAAACTCAATTTATTTGTATATGGATGAAAACTGCAACACCTTTGGCGAAAAAAAAATTCTAAAAAATCAACGGTAACTTTTAGTCACTTGAAACTTGCACATTATCAGACTAAAATTGAAAAATAATAGTTTTTACTAGTGGGATTCATGAAACGTCGCAAAGTGGTTACAAATGTCGCATTTGTCGCAAAACTTGTCACCTTGCGCCGCAGCTGTGATCTGTTTTGTATGGAAACATTCTTGCGACAAAATTGTGACATTGCCATAGTATTTGAGTTGGCAATAGTTCGATAACAAAATTAGCCAACACCAGCCAACAATCAAAATCAAGAGTTACTCTCCCAAAGAGATGAAAAAGCAAAAAAGTAAACGAACAGGAAATCAGCCATTACTTGCAAAAACCGGAAGAAGAAGACACACCAGCTGACTTTGTTTATGTTTTATTTGTAAACAAACTGAAATTCATGTTGCCTCCATAGAAGAAAAAAGGAAAGTGAACATTCAATGTTCGCCAGGAACATTTCTAGAAGTAAAAACTAGTTGGCGCTATCATAAAGTCACATAGCAGGCAGCCAAAAAGCATATAAATACCAAAACTCGGAAAACGCAATTTTGTTTGTTTACAAAAATTGCAACCATATGTTTTGTGATCATATGTTTTCGTGTTGGATAATTTTTGCTAACTAAAATTTTGCCAGCACAAAATTAACGTTTCTTTTGCATCAAAATGAACGCTTGCTCTCTCAATTTTTGTCTGTTGGATAATTTTTTGTCGTTATCGAACGCCATCCAGTAAAAATTTGGAAAAACTATTACAAATTTTTGACTTGTCGAGCGCACCTAATCGTTGCAAAGTCAAAGTCGCGAAACACATATTTTTTATTGTCTTCAAATACTTCAAGAAAAAGTATATCTGTTAAAGCTGCTTCGAAATGTAATTGTAAGAACTTTTCTTTTTCTCTAACGCGCGGCATTTTTTTTTTTAATTTTACATTTGCAATCCGGAGTTCATACAACTTTGTTCGCAACATTGCCATTTCGCCAAAAATGCCACTTTACGACGTTGTATGAATCGCATTGCTATGTTATTTCAAGCAGCCTTAACCAATATACTATTTCTTAAAGTATTTGAGGCCAATAGAAAATATGATGGGTGTTTCGCGACTTTGACGTTGCAATGATTGTCAACTCAAATAATATGGCAGCGTCGCATGAAAGTTTTCACACAAAAGTAAAGCTGTGTCGCAAGGTGGCAAATTTTGCAAAACATGCGACATTTGCAACTACTTTGCGACGTTTCATGAGTCCCACTAATATGAACTACATATATTAATGAAACAGAATTTTTTTTATTTATAACAAAATTGTACCTAAAATAAAATTAAAATAAATGCCCTGACGAAAACAAGTGATTTTTTTTTAATGAACTAATTGAAATACTACTTTAAAACAAATGCAATGAGTAAATGTTTCGAATTTTTATGTTTTTTTTTGCTCAAAAAAACAATTTGTGTCTTGCATCTGTGAAGTTCAGAACGCAAACTTATTCAAAAGAAACATACTGACTTTGAAGTTGTGTAAACCAAATTCATTTTAAAGTAGTTGAAATTAAATGCAGAGTCGGACAGTCGACTTGCTGCATGCACACAATCCAAACTGAACATTTGAAAGAATATTTACATGTTTGGCTGTAGCTGTGTTTGGCGAAACATTAAATTTTAAATTTTTAATTTCGGGTTTTCTTAATTATGAAAAAGCATCTGTGAAANGTGCCGCTAGCGCCACGCTACATAACCGAAATCTCCTGGAGTCCCATAGCCAGTGATCAAGTTGCTGTAGTGGCCAATGCCAACAACATACACATACTCAAAACGATATCACCAGAAGGTCTTCTAACGCCCATGCGTCGCATAGAGATTAAAAATCCAAAAGCTGCTAATGCTTGCGTCAAATGGAGCAACCGCAGTGCCACAGAGTTTCTCACTTGTGGTTTCGATGGTGGTATACGCGTTTGGGATTTGAATTGCAACACAAACGATGAGAAATTTCTTAAACAATTTCCCTGTCCAATGACATGCGGCATCTTTTTGCCAACCGACGAACAGATTGTGATGTGTGCTGGTAAATCTACCTCAGTGGAGTTGTTTGATATGCGTTTAGAAGAGTCCGTAGTTTATTCGGCATCTAAATGGAAGCGCTCAAATACTCATACATTAGACCACGTCAAATGGGCCCTCAAAGTGCCATCGCGCGCTGATACGGCTAAACCATTGACGGCGGCAGAAAAACGGCGTAGCCACCGTAATGCAAATGGGGCTGATAATGAAATACCTGTTGGAGTAGAAAGTGCGGATGGAGCGGAGAATGGCGGGAATGCTGAAGTGGTCGATATGTTGGGGGCGTTGAAGTTAAGTGAGCCGACGCCAAATAGCACAGTGGAACAGAATGTAGGAGATGAGCTGGTAGTGCCGCAGCAGCAGCAGCAAGTGGTTAAGAAAAATGAAAATAAGACTGGCAGCGCTTCAATTTTCATGAGGGTAAGCTGAATTTGGAAAGAGAAAAAAATATATGCATGTATGCATACATCAATCACTTTTTTTTTCAAATCCCTAGAATCCAACCACTTTATTAAACCTAACCACCAAGGAACTGAACAAAGATGTCTTGGAGAAATTGAATTTTGTCTTAAATCATTCAGGAAGCAGGAATTTACTTTGTTCGAAATTATTTGGCACAAAAGCAGAAGCTCAACATTTGTTGGCAGAAGAATGTAAGTACTGAATTGAACTTGAGAAATCAAGTCACAAGCCATGCTACATATCGCTGGTTTGCTGGAAGAACGTCATATTCTAAGGAATACAAATTTCGAGTTAAACCGCTGTAAAGCTTAATCCTTGAACAAAAAAAATATTAATACACGTAGATCTCGGTTCGACAAAATCTTAAAAAAGTCTCGGAAACCCCAAAATATTCTGAAGTATTTAATTAAATGCCTGAATAGTAAAGCCAAATGTCCGGAAAATAGCCCCCAAGTCTTGATAAAACCTGAAAAAATTTGTGGGAGATCCCGTAAAATAGAACACGAAACACCCCAAAAATAACAGAAAAGTCCCGAAATGAATGCAGAGCCCGAAAAAGTCCAAAAAACGAAGATCTCGAAAAGTAAAGCATAAATCCTGAAAAGGCTCGCGCAAATCTTGAGCGGTTCTGAAGAAAATCTTGAGAGGTCTCAAAAATTCGGAAAATTTCCGCGTAGTCTAACTAATGGCTTTCATTTTTACCTTTTGCGTCGGGTTTTGTGGAAAATATTCGTTTGCATAAATATCTGATATCTACAGTTATATTAAAAAAATAAAAAATAAAAATAAAAAATAAAAAAATAAAAAAATAAAAAAAAAAATAAAAAAAAATAAAAATAAAATAAAATAAAAAATAACATAAAATAAAAAAATAAGATAAAAAATAAATAAAAAATATATATATACCCCACACGATCTTCAAAAGGAACACAACTAAAAATTTGGCATTTTTGAAATTGTGCACTAGTAATGTACACAGAGGTTTTATTTACCTTTCAGCAAAAGCTGGAGCTAATTTTCGTTATAAAGGTAAAGTCTCCCTTGGCCATATGATTAATATGTGCTAAGAAATTGTTTTTCGCATTATTTGACGAACGTGTGATTTTGAGTTGTGTCACCTTTGAAGATCGTCTGCAATATTTTAAGTATATATATTTTTTTTAATTACGTATTTTTCAATTACATCTTATTTTCTTCAGTAAAACATCACAAATACTCTAAAACTACGGGCATATCCAACTTATTTATGACACAATTAAATTCATCAATCAGAGAAGAAATATTGAATTGTATACAAAACAAGCAACTGAGCGAATGGCATGTAGCTGTTGCACCTACCATATCATACGGGTGAGATTGGGTTTTTCATACCTTTATAAGAACATACTACACTGCCGGAACAAAGTATAGGCACAGCAAATTTTTCACAATATATGCAACAATTTTCTTTCTAATATTTTTCCGCTAATAAAATTTTTTCCGCGTATTAAAATATACGATGGCTGAGTGGAAGATCGACCTATATCGGCAGCCAGTTCGAAAACGCTCTATCTCAAAAAACTTTTCAAGAACGCCCTATTTCAGAATTTAATTGAAAAACACCCTGGCTGCCGAGATAGGTCGATCTTCCACTCAGCCATCGAATTTTTGACTAACTCCGAACTTGCATTTTTTTACTAGAATTTAATGGGCTGCAAAACTCTGCATACTCAAAAAAATTCTAAAAATCTGATTAAAAAGTTGAAAATTTTGATTAAAATTTGCTGAATTTTCGCGAGTTTTGCACAAAGTGTAGGAATTATATTTTTATGCTTTTTGTTGTTGAATGTACTATATTTTTATACAAAATTGGCGGAAAAATTTTAGAATAAAAATTTTTGCATATATTGTGAAAAATTTGCTGTGCCAAGACTTTGTTATTGATAAAACAATATATTTGTATATAATTTATAAATTTGTCATGTTTATCGGCAATTTGTGACCTTAGATAAGTATCCCTATTAATTTTATATTTATCTGTTAAAGTTTCTGGCAAAAATGCTGCCAGGCCTTTGCCGATCAACTTTTGGAGCAAGGCTATGCACTACAGGCCGCCACTTATATAATAGCAATGCATCACCATGTTGAAGCTATCGAAATGCTAATGTCAAGGCATTACTACAAAGAAGCACTGCTAATCGGCCGCATTCACTTGCAAAAGGAGGATCCATTACTATCCAACATTAGCGACAAGTGGATTACACATTTGGATATGACTGGAAATTTGACTGGTTCGGCGTTACTGTGAGTAAAATCACATAAACTTACATACATACCTACACACAATTTTAAAAACCACAGTAATTTTGTATAGATATTCACCGTAAATTTTTGTTCACCAGTTCATCACTCATTTATTCCAAATATTTTTAAAGTATGTTGCATATTCTTAAATACAAATTAAAATACTCTTCTCTGCATTTTAGTTGCGTACTCTCAGGCCAAATGAATCGTGCTTATGAAACTTTAGCCAAGGTGCGCAATATTCATCCCGATATTGAACGTGTACTTGAAAAGATGAAAAGCAAACAGCTTGTGAAGCAGTAAGGCTAGACTGACAGCTATTCAGTATAAATACTTAGATTAATGATTTTCTACAATAATATGACCTACAGACATATTGAAATATTGAAGTTATTAAGAATTGCTCGAATGGCATTGTTATTGTTTACTTTACACTTACGTTTTTGTAAAAGTTAACTCTTTTTTAAAATACTGATTTTTATACAAATGAATTTTTAGTAATTGATTTTGAAGTGTATCAGAACATAAAGCGTGAAATTGAAGTAACATAAAATTACAGATACGATTTTTATTTAAATTGCATATCGAGACCTTACGGTGAAAAATAACGTAGGCGAAATTTTTTTCCAAAATTTTATTTCTTATACGGAAATGCTCTTAGACTATTTAGGTGCATTTCTGCAAAAAAGAAAATTTTGAAAAAAAAGTCGCTAAAATTTTTAGGTTAGGTTTCGAGATGTTGTTTCAGCGCCAGTAGACCACCAGTGTCTGATTCTGAAGCAACTTTAATTGATTTCCACGCTCGATCATCTTGTTGTCCGCTGAAACCGCCTATAAAATTTTGACCGAGTGTGAGAAAAACCAACTTGCGGCAAGGAGCTATTGGGATTTAAACGTTCATTAAACCCTGGGCAAACTATTAAAATAAGTTCCAGCTGCTAGAATCTGCTAGCCTTGTATTTATTTGTTATTGGTACTCCGCAGTCCATTTTGATCCCGTCTGTAAAGATGCCACCAGAATTCAGCTCTATTCCACTTCAGGAGCACATAACGCGCATACGAGCATACCAATGATAATCTATATTGACGCTTTAAAGATGCGGACGCTGGTCTCTACTCGGAAAACCTGATAAGGTTCAACATGGAAAAGGTATTATATTGGTTGAGAGTAAAAAGAATTTAAAAGAAAAATTATTATCGAAGGATCAATCTACCAAGCAGATTCTTACCGATGTCATAGGGGGCATTGTACCATTGCACCAATGCTCCAAGTATACCAAAAACTTATCTGGAACAAAGTCTCTTGGCAGCTCAGGCAAAAATTCTTTTGACGAGGTTTACAATTAGAAACGATGTAAAAGTTTAGTAACCTTACGAAGAAAAAATTAAAAATTTTAACAGGTATTTTAACTCTGAATCTAGTCTTACGATTTATGCCGGTTTTGTGACAATAAAGCTGAAACTTCCGAGCTGCTACTCCACGAATGCGATGTAGTGTCGGGAAGATGGGAGAAATATCCCGCACTACATATTAAGCCCGGGGTAAAAATCGTACAGTCGTTGCCACAAAAAATTGTATTGAATTTCTTAAAAAAGTTAAGACCGAGCGATGGGTTGTTAAAGAGCAAGATGACACTATTGAAGGACCGGCGGTTCGGACACGCTTCTATACTTAACACTCTGGCTAGCTATAACCAAGAAATCAACTACTCCGCTCCAACTACTGCCTTCGACAGGCGCTTTAGGGCGAACATTCTGTCAAGAAGAGAGTGGCAAACACCAAGGCCATGGATCAATTTCTACCCTGATGGATCTAGGCTAAACAGGAGTTTTCTCCGTATTTTAATTATCCGTCTGAATTCCGGACCACTGCATCTTTTCTCAGACAGAAGTTCTAGCTATGAAGAAGTTGCCTGTGTACCTTAATACACATGCCGTAACGAAGTCTACGATAAAAATCTTCTCGGATAGGCAGACGGTTATGAAAGCAATGAATGTGGTAATACCTAAGTTAAAGGCTGCACAGGAACGCCTTGCAGCTCTAAATGATATTAACGTCGTCTTCAAGTTGCAGAGTTTCCAAGCGCATCGCTATCGATCTCAAATTAAAAATTTCGATGCGAGTTACGTTCGATATCGAGTGCCGTGATTCGGGCCCTGAGCAGATTTTTTAGGCAAATACTACTTTAGCTCTATTACGGAACTATCCGGTATAGGAATAAAACCATTCCTACGCTTCGTAAGGGCTTTACAATGGTTCCATGAAAATAGTCACTGAGGCTCTCGTGTTTGACATCACCTGCAAGTTCTAAGTGAGTTGGTCATTTGAACTGGCTGCCACATAAACCTAACCTAACCTAAGACGGTGCATGCCATGTCGGGCTTGTAATTCATGATATGAAGAATAGGGTGGACAAAAAATGCAGGTGAGAAATGTTCATGCTCTCACCTCCTACGATTGTTCTTTGTCGAAAAAATACTACTCCTTAAAAAAACATACATATTTAGAGGTCGCTCAAGCTGCTCAAAGTCTCCCATGCATTTTATAGGGTTTTTTGCAGATACTCCAAATGTCACTCCAAATGTCATGCTTGGCAAATTTAGTTCTATTGTACATATTACCTTTTAAACAGCAAAAACCAAATATCGTAACAATGAAGTGCTCGTGGTACACCACTCATATTGTAGCTTAAAGAATTTCAAGAATACTTCAATGTTGTAATTCAAAAAGTTTTGAGGCCCACCAAAAGATGTAGGCGTTGAACCAGAATTAGAGCAATATGAAGCTATATGTCTCTACATGAGATTGCAGGCTTTTGACAAGAGGATTTATTCTAAAAGCTTATACCTTGCACACTTTAATTTCATGAAATAATCCCTCTGTCTTCTTAAAGAGTTGAATATAATTTTTCAAATCAGGGCGACCACCATTGCTTTACAAATAATTAAAGCCATGTGTGACAAACTTTTGAAAACGGTTATGTCGAACTATTTGATAATGCAGATTTTAAAAACTAGTGACATGAATTCTGGATCATGGAAATTTCAAAGCAGTTTCTTAATTTGTCTCAAGTATACATATAATTGTGTGGCAGTCGACTTTAGTAATGAGCTCGTCAATATTTTAAAAATTTTGGACCGTCATTATGGGGAGGCTCTGCAGCTGGCTCGAGTCTTTTTAGAAGAAAGTTTTAATTCCTCAGAGCAATGCGGGCTTGCAGCCTCATTTATTCAAATTAAGCCAAAGGATAATGCTTGTATAATTTATAATCTCAAAATTTGTGTGTATAATTTAGGTTGAAATTATACCATTTCAGTATATTTTTTCATTCTCCTGATGGCAACACTGCCTCGGTTTCTTGTTTCCCAAAAAAGTTAAATTTTAATCTGCAATAATACCTCAGTTTGCGTTATGGGGCTTTTCTTTTTTTTCGTTCCCAAAATTTCCACACCTTACCTATGGATGTGTGTATATATACCAGTGTATGCAAACGTACGAATGAATTATACTTTTTTTTTTTTTTTAGAAATGGGGGCAGCAGTGAAGCCATAAATTAAAGCATAAATATATGTCATAGCATGCCTTCCATTCCATTCAATACTCAGATATCTACATATATGCAAATACTTTGTATAAGTAAAACAAAAGAATTCGACCAAGAGGCGGCAGATTCTCACGAGTCGTCTAAATTCAATGAAGAACAAAAAATATTAGAGTGTCAGAAAGCGCTGGCATTGTCCACTACAAAGCAACGTACATTTAAAACGCCTCCGTTGCCTTCGACCACCACCCGCCAACATTCCGACTTTATTGCGTGTTAACCGTTGAATTAAAAGCACAAGATTCGCTAAAAATATTATACTCGCAAGATAAGAAACGGAATTGTACACATTTTTGTTTACACTTTTTACGACTCAAAGAATGTGCAATGGGTTGAAATAAATTTTAATTCACACGCAAGCAGATAATTTTATTGGAATTGAAATTAACGGTTTATGCAATACAAAAAAAGCTGTATAATATTACGACGAAAAGAAAAACAACAAGTATGTACAATGATTTAACCACCGTGCACTTGTTTTGGGAAATGATATTTAGGAATTTTGATTTTTTTCGCCCGCACCATTAAGATAAACAACAGTAAATGTAAACTGGATAGCAGGCACACTATATGATGTATGTCGCAATAAAAAAATGTGTCCCTTGGTCTTAAAACGGTTAAAAGAAAGTGAGGATCCGGTGTGATGTTTAGCCTCCCCGCGTGAAACCCAATTCGGCAGTGTCGTGTAAATTGTACACCCATCAGAATTTATAGTAGCGGATTTGAGAGCCTAAGGTGTTCCCTAGACCGCCTCCGCTTTAATCGTTGCAAAAAACTTTAATTTCTCATTTAAATAATTTTCAAAGGTTGGTTCTACATACACGGTCACAGAATCCGTTAGGGTTGGGAAGGTGGCATTTCTATGAATCCATGTTAAAAGAAGTCTGCTTTAGAAGAAAATTCCATGCCAAAATACTAGATGTATAAAATGGTAAAATGGTGCCGGCCGCTGTGGTGTAGTGGTAAGCAGTGCGCGCTTCCACTCCACAATGCCTGTGTTCAAACCCTGGTCAAAGCAACATCGCAAAAATATAGAAAAAAAGGTTTTTTCTTAACAGCGGTCGTCCCTCGGCAGGCAATGGCAAACCTCCAAGTGTATTTCTGCCATGAAAAACAGCTTCTCATAAAAATACAATCGCCGTTCGGAGTCGGCGTAAAACTGTAGGTCCCTCCGCTTTGTGTGACAACATCAAGGCGCACGCCACAAATCGGAGGAGAAGCTTGGCCAAACACTAACATATGTGTAAGCGCCAGTCTATTATTATTATTATAAAATGGTATATAGACGGCTCAAATATGGAGGGCAAAAAACTTACCATTGCAATGGGTACTCCACCCACAGAGTTTCAGGCCGATATCCTAGCAATCTCAACCTGTGCCAGATTAAACATTGAAAAGCGTTTTAAAGGCGTCTAGGAATTGTCTCTTCAGACAGCTGGTGGCCATCAGGGTCCTATCCAATTGGATGATTAACTGCAGGCCACTTCGGTAGCGCTTTGACTCTCTTATACACTTGGCAGCGGGAAACACGGCACATTGACGCTGGTTAGTTACTAGGACACTACTGGATTGAAGGTAACGGGTCGCTGGTGAACTGGTTAGGAAAGGCCCATCATCTGTCCTTGTTGGGCCGGAGTTGCTCTGTGGACTCAATTGGTCATACTTCAGACTTCGAGTTACAGAGTTGGTAACCTGAGAACGCTGTAAGTGTTGGGGAGCGGTAGTTTGAACTAGACGGGCTAGGCTTTTTGGATATGCTTCTGTTAGGAAAGACATACTTTTTTGAATATCACGTTTCTTACTGGTTACCTAATTGTTCACAACCATATGTGGTCTCACAAGTATCGAATCGGCCTGGCCACGGAGACGGAATGCCGTCTTTGTTTTGAATACGAAGCGAGTCGGAGCACATTCTGTGTTATTGTCCTTAAACGCATTCACAGTCGATCTCATTAGTATCAGGCATTCGCCTACCAAGTCATTGTTAGATTTTATTAGGGAGTCTGATATTATGTTGAGTTGTCAGAGTTGGGAACTTATCAAAGGCATACAAAAGATCTTGTGGGTCGCGATGTCCTGTATTTCTGTTTTTACTCAATCAATTAACTAACTAACTACATACACATTTGGGGTCTTTCCTACTTCCCCCAACTGCAATGTCAGCTCCTACAATAACCCTTAAGTTAGCTGGATACCTGACACATGAAGCCTCGAATGACCGAAAAAGTCTTTTCTAACAGCGGCTATAACTGGGAATCCAACGCTTCAATTCAGAACCTAATTTTGACACGAAAAGGCTTGCCATAAATTGAAGCCGAAGGTCGGCCTAAAATTTACACTTCCCTTAGGTAAGCGAAAGTCATCTGTCGCTTTGCTGCATACAGTAGGTATTGAAGAAAGAAGAATCAAGTTCAAAGTTTCAGAAGACATTATCTAAAATACACGACTGTTTCTAGCATTTTACCGCTGCGAGTGAAACAAACCGGTGAGCAAATGTAGAGCGATTTCTTCGATACGAAATACTGACGACAGCTGCTTCATTAAACAATGAAAGCCTACAATTTTACTCTCCCAAACTCATGCCAACTATACACACTCTGAAATTAATATGCTAAGCCGAAAGTTCAACGCTGAAACGCCCGAAACCATATAGCCGCTAGCAACTATAGTCGCCAATGCTTCTGCGCATGCGAGCGCAATCAGTTGCAAAGCGTTTGGCGTGGTGAGCATACGTATAAACGAGTAGTCACGGACAGCGTTTTGGCAAGCAATCAAGCGAGCAAGCAACCGACGTACTAGCTGTGAGGCAGGCAAACGCGCAAGTTCGTTGCTTAAGTCTTTCGTTCGTTTTCACTTTTCGCTTAACGGTGGTGTGTAGCTAGTGCCGGCAATCATTTGTGTACATACATACATACATACCTGTTATATGCTTGTACATATGTATTCTAACGTTTTGCGAGTGTCGAAGCAGCAAACAGTTAAAGATGTGCTGATGATACATTCTTGTTAACACAACAAGACAAACCAGTGAGATGTTTACGATATTAGCATAAATAAACTGTTGCCTTTGCGGTAATTGCTATAAATAGACCAGACGGTGGTGGTGGTGGTGTGCGATGTGTGGAAAATAAATGTTTTTTTTTTTATTGCTTTGCTTTAATGTTGTATGTTAAGTGCGTGTTGTAATTAGAGCTGATCGTTGAGCAGGTGGCATGTGTACATAGAAGTATGTGGCACGCATGCGCTGTGGAGTGGACAAGCGCTGGTAAACAACGAATTCGTTGAATGTGTGACAAATAATTAAAAAGTAATTAAAGCGCTAATTGGTGGGAAAAGAAAGCGAAAACGGGGGCTATGAGGAAATGCTAAAGAAGTGGAACAAAATGTGTGACCGAAAAAAAAAATCAAATTTTAAATAAGAAAAAAATAATAATAAAAAAATGAAAAAAATTAATTCAATTCTAGTTGAGACAAATTACAGCGCGCTTGCCTTTGTTTTGTTTTAGTTCAAACTATGCATATTGCCTTGCAACTTTTTACCTTTTTTATTCTTTTTGAGTTGAACTAATTGCTGTGTGACTTTGTAACACAAAACAATAATAAAAGTAACAATTAAGAATGCCACTTGAATAAGTTTATGGGTAAATGCGTTCAAAAGTTAAAATGCTTAATTAAACCAGTGCAAGTGTACGCGAAGATAACAATAAGAACAACAGAAAAATTAACTTAGCAAACAAATTTGCAAAATTAAAACGTTGAACAAATTGCAGACAAAGCGTCAACGTGAAAAAATGTGACTGCTTAATAAAAATCTACTCAGCTACTAGAGCAGGCAGTTGGGCAGTCAGTTGGCTAGCCAGTTAGTTTGGTGGCTAAGCTAGCCGACACGTCGCGCAGCAGACAGCTCAGTTAGTCAGTAAAGTCATCCCGTCAGCAGCTCAAACGGCAACAACGCCCAACTCACGCTGTCATGAATTTAAATAAATACACCAATACTTCGTATATACATTAGGATGGTCCAAAAATGCATGTGAAAAAGTAAAGTCGGAATTTTTATGCTCTCACCCCCTAGGATTGTTCTATATCGAAAAAAAGGAATACGTCTATTTTTTTTTATTTTGAAATCAACAGATATTTAGAGGTCGCTCAAAGCGCTCAAAGTTTTTCATGTATTTTTATATGGGAAAAAGTAACTTTTCATATAAATGGTATAGAATCCTTAAAAATCAATATTTTTCTACTCTGCTTATCTGCAAAAAATTTAAATTTTTGAATTTTAAAGAAATTTCCTCTTTTTTCTATTTTCATTCTACATTGCATTGCATTTTTTAAATAATTTTTGGAATTAATCATATCTTGGAAATTACAAAAACGCCACTTTAAATAAAAAAAAAGTAGGTTTTAAACTCACATCTCGAAAATCCCGGGATCGTAGAAGACGGAAAAATTAACATCACTAATAGATACACATCACAAATAAATTTTATTTACACTATACTCACACAAATTGGTGCTCCGTCTCATCCTCTTCAAGGCAGGAAGGTCAAATGGGGTTAACTGGTATGCCAGTTGTTTGTGCAACGAGAATTGATCAGTCAGCAATTTCACAAATGATCAGCAATCCCATCGGATCGGAGAAAGTAGTAAATACTTAGCCTAGACCTAGCGAGAGGGAGGACAACATATATTTTGCCCACCTGCAGGTCTTCGATCAGGCCTGTCAACTTGGCTCAAACCGCGCTACTTTTTGCCCTATTTCACTTAAAATGTCAGCTAATTTTTCAATTTGAAATCCATCTGGACTGCACTAAATACTTTTTTATCAGCTAAAATTTTCTAGTTTGCGCTTTCCGCTTGATAGGTGTGGAAAACACCTGGTTCGCGGAAAGACTTTTTAGTCTTAGTTGTTCCAAATTCATGGCTCTTCCGACCTTTTTGCCCAATTTAGGTCCATCAGTGTAGAACCGAATATAGTCAGTAGGTCCCGGAATGTCGTGGTCACAACTTTATACCCTTTGTGGATGTTTGTGATTGGCATGCTGTAGTCCGTTTTTCCCGCAAACGGTGTGACCAAAATGATTCGCTCTCCAGTTGGACAATTTTCGCAGTTTTACATCACCAAAGGCTATACTATGTTTTACTATTATGTCTAAGGACAACGTTTTTGGCAGCACTTTCTTCCCTTCCGTGGATGTCGTATGCAGAGCATCACTGATCCATTCATTCCACTTTCTATAGTGGGAGGGTGAGATTTCCACGCAGGTAATATACATATATGCATATCAAGGCATACGGTTGCTGAAATTATACTATTAGACTGATTCACACTGCATACCAGAAATAATCGGTTCTTCCTCTCCAAACGTAGATATTATGAAATCTGAAAATTTTTGTATATACATAGATCACGTCAAAATATTTCGGCTCAATTTAAAATACCCTTAAAAGTTTCGTTTTTCATGTAAGTAGTTTATATCCCAAAACTTGATTCTCTAGTTGGGGTTATTGTCTTATATTTCACTTCGAGAATGAGTTGTTACCATGGTTTCCATTCTTTCGAACCCATCTCGAGTGTATTTACAATCTACTACGAACGTTGGAAATCTAAGGTTGGTTATGAGTTCGTTTTCAATTCGATGTGCATATTGGATATCGAAGATCATTTTCGAACGTTCGACACAATGTTTACTGGGTGCGTATATTAGACCGTACCACCTTAGCAAAATTTTAATGATTTTTAGCAAATTTTAATTTAATTACATTAGGGTGTTACGGAAGGCTGACAAGAATTGAGATCTGGTGGGTAAGTTTTACAACAGGGTACTTGAAGTGGATGAACCTTAGGACAAAAAAAAAATGTCTCCTTGAGACAAGAGCATTGATATATCATACCTTAGAATCCGGCTGTAAATGGCGAAGATATGACGAAAAATGTAAAAAGGTGGCCCTTACGTTCGGCCAAACAAATTTTTTGTTCTTTTCGAAACTGTCCCTCAAAAGTGTTTTAATTCGAAAGTCTACGGCAAATTTTTTTTTGATACCGCGTAGTGTACATACATTAGGGCGGGTTTATTTGTATAGAAGATTTTTTCGACTATGCGCGTATAGCACAGAATAATTGATCTAAAATCAATCTGGAGTTTGCTGTAATGCCGTAAAGAAGTGCTTAAATTTTGTACAAAAAACATTCTATAAGGGGTCTTTTGGTAAGGGAGTTTCTGTAGTTATATTTCTGCGGTTATATTTTTCTTAAAACTTCCACCAGAGGGCGCAACAGTGAAAATGTTTACAATTTCTTCGAATACTCATATGCTATACGCGCATGGTAACAAAAAATTGAACCGCCCTAACATACAAACGTATGTACTGTCGTATGTGAATTTCGAATGATTGATCCCTTATGACTAAGCGTTAAAAAATTTCTACGGCACTCACATAATTCGCGAGATGCTACAGTGTGATTGTTGTGTTTGGCAACAATTACGAAGGGAAAAATTATACACAGAGTGGTTTGACACACCTTCACCAATGGATATGTAGGTATATATGTATGTATGCATGTACATTCACAGTTCTTATATATTTTGCATACCTATTTCTGAAGCGTAAATTTCCATATGTTTGTCAACCACATTTAGTTAATATGTATGTATGTAGGAGGAGTATTACACGCAAACCGGCTGATGCCTGTAATCGTTTTGCGACTACTATATACTTTTGCTTATAAAAAAAGATAACCAAACAACAATAACAGTTAAAAATATAAAAGTGGGCAAAGCAAGCGACTAACTGGTCCCAAGTTGATAATAGTTTAGTGCGATAATTGGCTGTTTGACAGGTTTTTTTTTATGTACGGTATCAGGACGATTTAGTCTTCATGCGGAAAGTTTATCATCGCCTGACATTGATTTGATTTACATTTTTAAAGCAAACAATCTAGAAATTCAAGAAAAATATAAGTAAAACCAGATTGAAATCAATACACACGCAACTTTTCATTTAAGTTTACTTTTTAAAGAATTATGGTACACATTATTTTGTTTACGTATTGCGCTTCTTTACTTAGTCAAATATTTGTATAATACTGTATTTAAAACACGCTCTTTGGCGGCTTTGGCAAATGCGAAGTCTATCAGTACTTAATAGGGTAGATCAAAGGCCTGTCATTACAGGCTCCGGCTCGAGGGAAACTGGTAACGAGGAGGCCAGCGAAGACTTGAAGGCGATTTCTGGAGTTGGAAAGTCGAGTTATGAATCCGAGCTGGAGTAAAGTTAAGAGATTGACTCATCGAAATAGATCTGATTGGTGAACATTTGTTTAAGCGCTTTGTTTATATACACTAGATCGTACAAAAAAAAAAAGTTCGCCGTACACACCTGAGTCTAAAGTATTTCAATTGATACAAGGCCACGTTTCGCCGTCAATTTTCTTTATTAACTACACTTCCGTGTCTCTTTGGGTTTCTATGTCAGAGCTATTCAAAAATCTTCTGATAGTTACACCTTCTAAACCTGGGATCTGCGGTGCAATTATAGAAGTTCTATGCATAAGTATAGAAGTTCATATGCATAAAAAATATATAATATATTTACTATTGATTAAAAAAATATTTTAGCCTTTCGAATTCCAAATTCGACCGGTTTCTTTAAAACAAATGAACCAACTGCTGCGCTGGAGTCTGGGTATGTACAAGTACAAGATTCAACCTACCCAGGAGCGCAAAGTTAATCACTATAGACAACGCTGTTTGTTCGATGACTGGGCGGCTTTCGAAGCATTTGGAATAGGATCAAAATTTCGGACTAAAAATTATCTCTAGAAAAAAGGCGATTTTGAATGTCTTGAATTTAATAAAAGTTCAAGCTTGCGAAATAAGTCGAAAATAAATATGCAACAAATAACAACAAGAAACTTTTAAGCAAAAAACAAAACCGACTTCAATTCTCATATAAAAATGTAAGATTATCGTTAATTTCTTCATGATGCGATTACCGGATTTAAACCATTAATATGGGACCACCTGTGAGGTTACACATTTCCTTTAAAAAAAGAATTATAGAAATCGGTTAACGTGGTCCAAAGTTATGCGGTAACATACATAAAATAAAAAAATATTCCGACGAATTGATAACCTTTCTCCTTTTTGTGAAGTCGGTTGAAAAGGAAACAACTTTCATGTACTTATGTATAGTCTAAGATCCGACAAAGGCACGACCTTCACCCATCTGTTTAATGGTTGAAATCTTTTCTCTATCAAATTTAACTTGTTAACTTGTTGTTGTTGTAAAACAAAAATCTTTAATGCCACTAGCCATTGAAAAGTAAAATGAAATAAAAAATTTTTACAAGTACTTAAAGAAAACTCATAAAACTACAATTAAATGCATTGGAAATTTTTATAGTAACGAATGTGATATCCGTGAAGCAGTAACGATTATGCATGGGTGTGTGTGTGTGTGCAAATTCCAATAACAGAGTAATAATGATTTTACTATCGCTGGCATTAGGCACTAGCAGCGACAAAAACAAAAGCAATAAAAAATTAATTGAAGAAAAATAGTAATTAATGTATTAAAAGCAACAAACAAAAACAAAAAAACGACATATTTTTGCTGGCTTGCGCCATACTTGTACATTTGTACATTTATTGCAAGGTACTCTGGTTAAACACAAATCTACAACTGCAGTTGCCAACAAATCCCAGAGTTTTGGCGCCACGCGCGGTACAGCTGCTGTACTTTCCTGTCAACAATCAGCGCTCGGAAGCGTTTGGAATGTGCTCACTCAACACGAGCGGGCAACTACATAAATACGAATAAATATAACAAAAGCAACAACAACAATAACGAAGATATCACAACGACACATTGCAGCAACCGTGACGTACGACAACGAAAGTGAAAGGTAATTTGTAACTTTTTTTCCACATAAACTTAACATAATATACATATGTATATACATATGAACATTATTAATACATTAATTCATTTCTTCAGACAACTGTAAAATCATGCATTTACATACAAACTAACATTTTTCGTATTTCGCATTATTTATTTGCATGCAAATAGCTCACTGTGCTTTGATATACTAATTTTTATAAAGTAGGCTCTTTCATGCTTTATTATGCGCGCGAAAATGTCATTGCAAAAATATAAAACATAGTAATATAGCCATAAGCGGAATCAAATGCAGTGAAGTGTAAAGTATTAAAATACTGCCGCTGCGCAGGCGCGCGATTACAAGCGTAATCATAAAACCATCGCATAATCGCTTCACTGTTTCTGTTGCGCTTTTCATGCTAAAGTTATTGGCAATCGTAATCGTCCACCATTATTATTGGCATTACAATAAACGCATAAATGCAAGTGTTAGTTAAAATATGTATGCATAAATGTGTAAAAACGCACAATAAATAAATTGTTGGTTGGCAAATTGCAGGCAGCAGACAAGGCTTGCGAATTGCTTTATTAAATTTATGCGCACTTTTCTTAATGGCTCAGTTCGTTTGCAGTGCCATGAAAATTAAAATAATTTGAAATATTTTATTCATAAATTTCGTCGTTTTATCAGTCAACAGGCATTCACTGCGTGTCTGTATTATTTTTAACGCCTCAAGCCTTGTAGTATACAATACTTATACACATAAGTATATACATATGTACACGTAGATATGCATACACAGTGCAGGTCACTTGAATAGCTCCCCCCTTTTTGATCCTCAGTATCACGAGGACTATACACACATGTACGATGGCGGAGATAAAGGCCTTATCATTCAGGAACATGGACAAGCTAGCCTCCCAGATTTCACAGCATCTATTCCTCAGATACGATATGCTCAGAGTAGTAAGTTTAGAAAGAACCTATAAGTTGATTATACATATAGCAAGGCGACCTGGAATACCGCTATCGGTGCCCCTAGGATCCTTCCTAAGCATCTTTCAAGCGGAAGTGTTTGCCATTAGTCTTTGCGCGCAGACATTAACCATCTTAGGAAGTGAGGGGATCCTAGTCTTAACTTATAGTCAGGCGGATCTCTCAACCTTAGAGGTAAAATTCTCATTGGTTCTGAAGTGTATTGAGAGAAAGCAAATGAGGAAGCTGATCAGTTAGCCAGAATAGCTGCTTCCTCGACCCCGATAGGTCCTGAGCCGTTACTTGCGCTAGGTACCAGTACGATTTATTATGCCACTAAGTGCCAGGAAAAGAAAATCCCAAACTGAAAAAACTGAAGGTCTTCGTCAAGGTGTGGCTAAGAATAATTGCAGGTCCCTATAGATTAAGATCTTTGTCGCTTTCGTGATACCCGCCAAAGTGACATCTTTGCATCTCCTCCTGGAGCTTGAGGTCTTTTCACGGAGAAGGGAGAGGTGCATAGGCAAATACACTCTCTACCATAGGGATCTATTTATTCTGAAATTTATAGACTCATTCTAAAAAAAAATCAAAAAATTTTGATAAATGTTTTAAATTTTGCAAATCATTTTAATATGGGCTCTGTTATTGAATAATTTATATATTTTATAAAAAAAATTTTAATATTAAATTAACAGAAGGAAAACTGTGATACTGAGGATTAAAAGTGGCGCCATTCAAGGGGCCAGCACTGTTTGCATCTATGAATATATGTATAATAGAAAATTTCCTCAGACTATAATAGCAGCATTGTCATTGAACTCGTGCATTTACAAGGCGCACACAACTCGCATCAACTTCTCACCTCTGTTCCATTTACATACATACGTATGTATGTATGGTATGTATACTACATATTCATATATGTATGTACCAATATTACGTTACTTGCATTTGAAATTAAGGCGCACGCAATTTTTCAACAGTCATTGGCTCATAGCGCTACAGCTCATCATTGTCATCATCCGGCGGATCACTCCACACCTATGTAGATAGATCATGTATGTATGTATATTAGTTAAAGCGTTTACTTGTATCTCTTTTTCTGTGCTACCCACTCGGATTATGAAATTGCAACATGCCATCATAGAAATCTTATTTAATTATGGTATTGTCATCGTCTTTGAGGGTAGGTTAATTTTACTCAAAGTTATGTTAGGCGTCAATCTCTGTTGATATTCACTTAATCTCAAAAAGTCCTTGGGGAACGATGCTGGAGTAATAGTCGATATGAATACGGGGCGTTCCGGTTATGTATGTAAAACCGACTGTCGTGGGAAAGTTTGTGTTTGTGGTCACCCTGGCTTTCATTGTCCACCGATGGGTACCGAAAAGATGAGTATTTTCTCCGCAGCTCATTCACCATACATTCGCCATATCCTAGCCAGCGTAATCGGTGTTATTTGTATCTTCTTCATAGGGTCATAGATCTTATGTAGAATACCGCGAAAGCACACAAAGTATACTCATATTTGTTCGACATAGTAGTTGCCTGATTGTAATTTGTTTTGTTTCCGTTCACCGCTAGATCAACCAATGTCATCTGCATACGCCAGCAGTACCGCATTACGTTTCGCTTGTTTGATCTCAATTTAGACGGAGCTAAATGCTGTGTTCAAAGTCACACTATGTACCCTGCAGCAATTAGGCAAAGGGAGTTTCGAGTAAATACCTCCATCGATCATCCAATCGGAGTTTGATCCATCCATTTAAAGCCGTCTAGTTTCAGAGCGCACAGGGGCTTTGGAACGTAGACTATCACCCTTTTAGACTGACAAATGTCGTCCGGCAACCGATTCGGCATAACACGATATCGGTTATGGAGATTTTATTGAGGAGGTAGAGGATGAAAACTCTATGGCCTCCGAAGCTAACATTACTGAGTGTCCTTTTCAATAGAAACGGTCTGTGGAGAATCAACGAGAATCTTTACTGAAATATGTGTATAAAAAATTGCTTATAAAACTAAGAAGCATTGTTAGCTTAATATTTGATTTTTTTGCAATTCTTTTCATCAAACCATTTCCACTTTCAATGTTTTAAATACTGTACGTATTAATGTTAATTGATGGTAAAGCGCTGATAAATTTCAATTATTTCTGCCAGTAATTAATTGCTTCTTAACAATGAGTGCGTAAATAATTTGAAATTATCCATTTACGAGTTTATACCTATACTTATGTAGGTTTAGCAGTTCACCAATTAAATTAAATTTAGCCTACTTTTAAGGGCATTCAACTCTTTTATTTGCTTTAGAGAATAAAAATGCAGCCACATGTGAAACATAAATTTTAACAAATTTTAGATTCATTAATGTGGTCCAAATGTGGGGAAATAAGAATCAAAAATTTTGTATGTCCAAGTATGATAGACATTGTTAAAAATGAATTATAGTTTTATAAATGTTTTGTTTTGAGTCATATGTTTTTGAATAATTTGAAAATTTCAAAATTACATTTCTCGACTGAAAAATAAGATATTCGAGCTAACTTCATGGCACACAGTTTGTTTTTTAATACTCCATGCGAATTAATTTGATATGAAACAAAATAGTTTCGAAAGCTAATGTAATTACTTTTCACGGAAAAATATTGCCATTGAGCCACAATTACTCCTTGACCTTAAAAGAATTGGTCAATAATAGTGTTCTTCGAAAAAGAAACATGCAAAATCCAACGGATTTATTCCGAAAAAAATGTTGAGTTTTTTATTATGTGTACTAATATTATAGACTTTGAGACGAGAAACACGATTCCACTGTTTAAAAACGAAAAAAATGTTAAGCCCTAAATTTGAAAAGTCCATTATATATTGCATTTTTTATGATTTGCATCCCTCACCAAATTTTATATCACTCGAACAACACACTTATATAGTATTTCTTTATTTGTTCTAATATCAATTGGATCTTGCTCCCACCAAACATTGTAGCTTCTGCCTACTCCTAATTGAAACTTTTAACCCCTCGGTTAACGTTGTTAACTAATAAAACTGTATGGATTTTTATCTTTCAAATGGCTCTCCTTATAAGTAACAATAACAGTATTAACGATATAATTCCACTGTTAAGCAGGAATCACACGATTTGTACATTTGTACAGATTTATCCATTTTCACCGTTACAGAGTGGTGTTGTGTGGAAAGCTTTTACTGAACTGCCCTCATTCTCGATTCAAATTTCTAGACAACACCACTCTGTGACTGTCAAATGTGCTAAATGATTGATTTTATATAAATCTTATAATCCTAAAGTTGTATGCCGCTTCCAAATATTTTCATAGACTACAACTAAACTTTTCATAAAACTAGATTCGAAATTAAATCAATTTCAGATAAAAAAACAAATATCCGTACAATTGGCTAGCGTACTAATTTGAATAATGATTACTATTAAAACGGTAACGTAAAAACTGTAAAAATTTGAATATATGTAAATGCACAAATTGTAGGCTAAGTGACGCGAATCGATAAGTCAAACAACTGTCTCAATTCGTGCATATTAAAACCAATATATATGTGTAGAGATACAAACACAGGCTCAATTAATATGAATAAAATATGCATACATACATATGTACATATAGATATTGATACATATGTATGTATTTGTGTTTTGTTCATAAACCACTTCCATAGTCTGCCACCACTTGCACACTTTTGATTCCAACGGTTCTATTGAAATCTATTGGCTGGCGTAAGAGGTGGGGAAAGTATGTTGCCACAGTAAATTTACAGTTGTTTTTCTTTTCAATTGGCAAGTAGAATAGCAGCACAAATGAGCGCTGCCTGTGTACATACATACACACGTATTATTGGCGGCCCCATAACAACAACAATGTATGCACATATAATAAGTATTAACAAAAGTGCCTGTTGTTCATAGAGCGCAGCACCAAAATCGTACGCAAACAAAGAGGTAAACGTCTACGGCGTGGTAGCCGTTGCTCGCGTCATTACCGCTAACATTTTTCCACCATTAATATACT